AAGGGGATGACAGTTGAGTCAGTGTCACAAACACACACAAAGTTGTGTATTTAAGGGAAATGTAAAGAGAAGCGCTGAAACATTCATCTTCTCTGACACACACAAATAACAAAAATGTCTCTGTTTCACTGGCATGCAGTTCAACAGTTTATGGTGAGTTGGTTTCTCACACACACCTGAAGATGAAGTTGAAGTTGATGAAGTCAAATGCATTGATGAGTGCAGCACTCTGACATCCCAAAAGCTGTACAAATGTGAGAAAATGAGCCACATCTTGTCCAGAGAGCACGACTGTGACTTCATGTTAGACCCTCCTCAGCACTCCCTGAAATAAAACAGAGACACAGACTTTATGATCAGTTTATTTGAACATTTGATCAGGGCCTCAGTCGCAACTGTGTACTTATGTAAACCTGTGATTGTATATTCTTACTCTTTTCTCATCAATGCTATGTTGTGTACGTGCTTGGCTCTCTCTCTGTGGATCTTATCATAAATAAGTATGTCTGTGTTTCATTGTGTGTTTTTTTTAAAGGAGGATATATATTTAGTTTCTTTTCTGTGAAAATGTGATAAAGGTTTGCAGCATTACCCATGATCACAGTAAGTTCACTGGAATCCTGCTCATCCAGTTTGTTTTGTTGTTGTTTGTTGATTGTAGCTGATGTTAGAAAAGCTTTAGAAAGGAGTTCCACCTCCACTACATGCTACATCAACACGTTCTCACTCCTAACTAGTCATATACACGTAAAATCTCTGTCTTGTTCCTGTTTCTTTCATTTAAGGAATATTTCTAAACTGCAACATATGGTCTCCTTAGCTGAACTGGAAAAAATTGTCCATGCATTTGTGTCATCGCGTTTAGATTATTATAATTCCCTGTTTACCAGCTTGGATAAATCATCACTTTCTCGCCTCCAAGCTATACAAAACGCAGCAGCCAGACTACTAACTTGCTCTAGCAAGCGAGCTCACATCACTCCTATTTTATGTTCTTTACATTGGCTCCCAATAGATTTTAGAATTCGTTTTAAAATTATTGTTTTAACGTACAGCGCACTAAATGGCCAAGCCCCAGATTATTTATCCAAGCTTCTCACAAAATACACTACTGCTCGCCGTCTCCGCTCACAGACTAAGAGTTTGTTTGTTTCTCCCAGAACACGTCTGAAGACGAAAGGGGTCTGTGGCACCAATGCTGTGGAAAAGTCTACCTCTACAACTACGTTTGGTTGACTCTGTGGAATCTTTTAAAAAGCAGTTAAAAACTTTACTGTTCAAACAAGCTTTCTGTTGACCAATGCTTTTTACATTTTTATATTTTTAATTTACATTTAAACTCTATATTGTGTATATTGTGCAGCTGATTGACTGAGCAATGTCATGACGTGTGTGTACTGATGGAAAATATAAAGAGGAACACGGAAACATTCATCATCTCTGACACAGTAGAAATATCTGTTTGACCGGCAGTTCAACAGCTTATTAGTAAGTTTGTTTCTCATTATTATTTGTAAATATGTATACAAATGGTTGGTTTTTTGTACTGTTTTTATCAATAAATCTCAGCAACAAAGGACAAACACCCATGTGTGTTGATTTCTCCCTAAGATGGCAAACTGAAACACTCCAAGTTGGTGACTTTTGGAGATTTATTTCCCTGGATGATTGAGAATGCATCAAGATGAAACACAAAAGGAAGTTCACAGCTTTTAGCAGCTCCCCCACCCCCTCATCCACACACCCCCACTCCCCTCCCTCCTGAATTCCTTTTTAACTACCTAATATACATATGAATGACTAGCCAATTTAGCTTCCACTTGGCTGAAGCTAAAGCTTAGCTAAAAGCCTACCAGCCATTTGGCTGGTGGCGGGGTTTATAGGTAGAAAGGTAGAAGCCTGGGACTCCTAGTGTTAAATCTCTTTTTGTAGCTTAATTTTTCCTACCTGCTGCTTAATCTATAGGCATCAGAGATGTACCGGCCTTCTCTTGAGCAGGTTTCATTTTTCCCTGGTTTTACTACCACACTGTTCACTAAACGCAGCAAACCTTCACCATCTTATCCAGAAGGGTCACCTCTTCACCCTCACATGGAAGAAGTAATCTGATTGGCATGGTGGTTTGTTTGAAGCAGGTCCCTTGTGTAGCGCTGGAACCCAGTCATGATGTTTCATCCATTTCATAGGCTGGTTTGCTGCAATAATGGCAAATAATTAGCAACTCTATAAATAGAAGGTAGTTCTGCAAAATCACTCAGTAGGATGTTTGTTCTAATTTGCTATGAGCTCAGAACGCATCGAAAATGAAACTAATAGGCTATAAAGAGTGATATGAACATATAGAACTTACCGGAATGAAAATGTCTGGAGCACCAACAGATATTTGGAGATGGAAGAGAACTGCACGTCAGCTCGTCTCACAGCTGCTATCCAGGCTGGACGCCTTCGTTTGCTAACATCGATACATGAGCTGCTTCCAGGTTGGGAAAGAATGAAAAGATAAACCATTTTCAACCTTATTCTCTTGCCGGTCGTGCGATCGAACATTGCAGCCGACCACACAGCAAATACGAACCGTGGCTGTTGTGTGTGCTCCCTTTTCACTTGCGCTAGACCCCCAAAATGGCGGATCGGGCCAAAATCCTTTCCACGCCCACCCCCGTGACATCACGCTCCAAAGCCCTATTGGGACCCACACCCAGTTTCACACCTTGGCTCAGGCGATTAGAGGATCATCAGGGGGTCCTTTTGTCCCTCCGTGGGGGGAAACTCCCACTAGGTTTATATCTGGGATTCTCCACCATTTGACCTTAGAACTGAAGAAGCTTCTCGGATGAGAGGTGAAACGTCTTCAAGCAACTTAAAGAAGTCCAGACGCTTTTCTTTGCAAGCTCCTTTGAATAAAACCCCACAGGTGAGGAAAATAAAATCCATGACCCAGAAACGAACTGACATAAGGAAGTAAAACTTAAAGTGTGGGATTTTGTGCTGTGTGTGCATGAATATTACTGAACAAAATTTTTAAACATGATAAGAATAACAATTATTTACTTGACTGAAATGTATTATGACCCAAATTTAAGGGGATTAGTGAAAAGGTGAGCCACTTTCTGAACTTGTGTTCCTTTTCCCCCAGTTTTTTTTATTGCCATTGTTAAAACTTTACTCCACTTCAGGAGATGCACATAAAGCTTTTGAGCTGTAAACATTTAGATTACCTGGTTAGTGGAAATGTTTTGGATTTTTTTTTTTTGTTTCACTGTAAATAGCAACAAGTATTTAAATCTCTTTTTGTAGCTTAATTTTTCCTACCTGCTGCTTAATCTATAGGCATCAGAGATGTACCGGCCTTCTCTTGAACCACTTGGTGAGCAAGTGAATCTGTGTTGGTGTGATGAGCATCATATTTCTTTAAAAAAAAGAAGAAGAAAAAAAAGAAAGCTGAAAGCTCAAACAGGCTTATTAGAGTGAGGTAAGTGAAACAGAGCCAGCAGTGCTTGGGTTTCTTTATTCATTGTACTTCCACCGTGCACGTACCTGATTTAACTCGATATCTTGCACGAAAAAGATGCAGCTTTTGTAGTTTTGCCTCTGTACTAACCGAAACAATCAAGAAGTGATTGACATGCAGGCATTCAGCTTTACTTTGTGAGGTTTACTAATTACACACATGCTTTCTTTTTTCCAGAAGGTCAAAAGTAATTTGAGAATGAGCTCATACACAATTTCCTGGCCAGGTGACACATGTTCTCTTACTGTTTCCTGACATGAAGCAGACGTAATATGTGAAGTTGATTAAAAGTGTTGAAATTATATTTTGCAGCTTCTCACTCTTTAAATACGTGACTTAAAGAGTTTGGGGGGAGACCATTATGCTGAAAAACCAAAATAAACCTATCAGGTTGATACCAGAGGCTTTTGGAGTGGCCAATTCAACAATCTGGAACATTCTTAAAAGAGAGACTCTGGCCAGCTGAAGAACAAAAAGCTTTGAAAGATCACAGATTCAAACTTCTATTCTATAAAATTTTTAGTTAATATTATTACTAATATTTTTGACATTTCAAAAGGGTATGACAAATCCAACACTAAAATCAGTTATTAAGATTGTTTCTTTTAGGTCTTTTATAAATGTTGTTCAAGACGGTTTGACATCAGGGTGGAAAATTTATTCTACAATGAGTTTTTTCTTCCCCCCCCCACATCAGTGCAGTTACCTTTTTGGTATTTGGAAAAGTGGAAATAACTTTGGGACGTCTCATGTTTCACTCTGACGTCTTCCCAGAAGCTTTCTGTAATTTCAGACAGCCGTCCTTTAACCTCTGTGCATCTAAAAGTGTATCCAGTGTATTTTTATTTTAAATATTTGTGATTTTTTTTTCTGTATGAGTTTCGCACAGCACCCAGCACTTGAAGATTAAGCTAAATAGACTTTGCTTCCATGCGATGATATAAATTCCTGTGTGTAAAACGCAAAAAACCAATGTCATTAACTCAGGCTTTTTTGGGAAAGTGGCTAATCACGGTGTCAATGCTCGGTCACACCTAGAAAATGTTCATTATCAAACACGGCCTTTGGCAGCTTCACGATAGACTGATAAGGTAATGTAATAAGAGGTCTGGCAGAGTATAACTGAATATAAATCAGACTTTTTTTCTATTCTCACTAGTAAATCAGCAGCCACCCAATGAGCTGATACAGAATAAACACATTAAAATTCAGGACAGCAAGTACTTCAACTGCAGTTAATGGATAAACATCAGCACCATCTTATCTAAAAATCTGCCAAAGCAGTTCACTATAAGGATATTATCATCAGGTGTTTCTCTGGTGATACTGACCAGGCTGTAGCACTCAGTTGTATTTTATTTATAGATTACCTTTAGCCAAAAGGCTTCATACCTCGAACCACATGCTGCTGCACTCTATGGAAAAGCTGTCACGAGATGTGAAACGGTTCAAAAGATGAAAACAAACACTGTATTCTTTAATTGTGACTTGCAGGATCTCAGGTTTGAAAGATGCCACAGCGCCAGGCATACATTTGTTAAATGAGGTGAGACAGAATGCATGACAGATTTTCTGTTTAGCCGGTGCTCATTACAGAGTAAATGCCCATCATCTCTCAGTGTGTGTTGAAGATTATGAAGACATCAGGCTGCTGATAAAAGCATTTTATTCCCATTAAATGGCCATTTTAATCACAATGTTTGGCACTACTTATAACAAACTGATAGCAAAGCTATTACCATTAACTAACCAACCTGCTAAATGGAGCAAAGCCTGCAAGCTAGCTGATGCAGGCGAGGCGTTATACTTACATAACACACTTTACTTTATAGATCCTAAATTTAAATCTGTGGGCAACTCCTTTAAAAAAGAAAAAAAAGAAAGAAAAAAAAAGTCAAAAATCCTATTTCATTCTAGTCATACATTTTTTGTGTGACCTCTGAAAAACCTGCCCAAATAAATACCTGGCAGCATTTGAAAATGGCCGCCGAGTTTACGAGATTTGATTGCAGAAGAACTTTGGTCAAACAGTTCTCAAGACAAACGGTCACGGCTGCTGTACCCTCTACAAAGTGCCTTGTGTAAATAAGTTAGGGAAATCACACTTTACAATTGGGTTTACTTACAAGGAAATTATTACTTTTAGCACATAAACACAGTTTGCTGATAAGATTAAGGGTGCTGAAAAGATTGCGCAAAAAGCAGACTTTAAAGAGCTGGTGGGAATTGTACAAAATGAAATGGCTGGCAGTGGAAGACGCAGGGATACTGACAGTTACACCCTCGTGCAATAAAGAGAATGCATGCTAATGCTACCACGTCAATATCGACCAAAAACTCTGGGAAATGTTTCCAGCATCTTGATGAATTTGAGCCATGAAGAGTTAAGGTAGGTGTGACAAAAGTGAGGAGGGCAACAGGGAGTCCAAGCTAATAATTTAAAACCACAATTATTCAGTTTCTATTTCTACAGGAGGCAACGTGTTTGCAGTTGAGCTACTAGCCTTCTAGAGGAAGTTTGAAGCTTAAATAGCAGACATGCCCTCACTGACAGCACTCGCATGCTTTAGCTCCTTGCATGTTAGTCATATGACCACTCAGCCAGTAGCAATAATGGTCTCAGACTGTCCTGCTCTTCCACTCATCATCTCCATTTGATAACAGTCATTCAGTTAAACACGTATGGCTGTAATTTCACCTTTAAATGGTACCTGAACTGTAGATTGCTTTGTGAATATAACTGCAAAAAAGGCTCTTCGTGTTCACCACTGCCTTTATGTTAACACGTATAAGTGTCCCATTGCTTTCCAATAACAGTGGAAGTTTGCTTTTATATTTGATCCAGTTTTTATAGCTCCTTCACATAGTCTTTTATTTCAGTTACCATATAATCCCCTGTCTTTATTTTCTGCCTGTAAAACTGTCTGCTGTTTTCCAGCACTACTGTAAAAGATGTATTGTGCAGTGTAATATATGAGATGCTCAAAGGTCCAATCTGAGAGATAATTAAATTTGAGTGTTTTATTGGCACGTCAGGTTAGAGGACTCCGTGGGCTCATAAAATCGCTGAAAACATTCAGTCAGGATTCAAAATTATGGATACCAGTTTGGAAAGCTGACATCAGGGGGATGAGCTTTGTGTGTGTGTGTGTGTGTGTCAGCAGTTCTCTAATTTGCTTTTAAAGTGTGTTCTTAAAGTGTCAGCGTACAACCCTCAGCTGCTGCAATCATGTACGTCACCGTGTCTGAGACAGTCTGCATGCTTACATGCATACATATGGAGTGTAAAGTAATAAACATCCTTCTGTGTCGGCATGTGATGTGTTGTCAGTGGACTTTGTCCCTAATGAGGATGTTCATATGAGCTCTAAGTTTAGGAGATTAGAGCATAAAGCGAGATAAAGTGCAGTTGTCGCCTAACCTCCATGACTTTACGCAGATTAAAGACGTAACCTGTCTTCTCCACTTACAACTTGTTATCTAATGCAAAAGCACAGGTGAACGCTCTATTAAAGGTTAAAGGTCAAAATGCAGAATTTGAACTCAAATTTCACAAAATACATGGTGGATAAGAGCTGGAGCCTATCACAACTGTCATAGGGAAAAAGGCGAAGTATACCCTGGAGAAATCACAAGTCTATCAGAGGGTTACCCAGCGAGACATTATGGTTTATGTTCACAGCTACAGGCAATTTAGAACCACTGTGGACTGTGGAGTGACCACGCAGGCATGGGGAGAACATTTAATAGGCCCCATCCATTGGCTTGGTTCAAGCCTAGCACCTTCCTACTGTGTTAACCACTGTACCACCTTTGGTTATTTGTGTATTTTGGCTATAGAGCACCTTTCTTTAGCTGTGCAAGTGGACCACTGCGAGTGAGGCTGCATGTTTTGGAATTGAGTAGCAGAACAGAAGAGAGCAGAGAGATTTCCTTTTGTTTGGTTGAATTCTTGTGGGTTACTTCTTTAACTTCCCATAATATGCTGTCTCAGTGTGACACTCTTAAACCAGATTTTATAGGAAGATTTCACAAATCCTAAAATTCCCAAACCACTACAATAAGTATGTAATAATATATCAGTTTATTAAAAGGTACAAAGAAAAAGCATTTTACTTATTTTTATAAAAAAAAAAAAATCCAGATAATTATATTATTATTTTTTATCTAGAATTAGAAAAAGACATGTTTGCTTGAATGTTACATTTCCCTTTGGTTTACATTTCAAGTGTCTAAGTGATATTTTTGGACAAATCTATCTAATACAGCAGAGCAGCACATTCTGGTATTTGCTGTCAGTGAAACGTTATCAGTGCAACAAATAAAAGGAACTTTTAACTAAACACACTCAAATAATTTAATGGGTTATTGTGGTCTCTGGGTTATCTGTGGTACTACATTTCTTGTGATCTTCAATATTGAAACCTGCTCTCTTTTCTAATACCTCGAACAGAAAATAAATGCTATGAAACGAATGGTTTGCAGAGACACTCTTCACCTTGGCAGACTGCACAAGTGGGTTTTGTGTGTCTGGTACACCGTGTCTTCATTAGGAATTCCTTAAGAAATCAAGTATAAACTAGGTCTTACAGCAACCTGTCAGCAACAATCATAAACTCTCATAAGATCTCAGAGAGACCGTTCACTTTCCAGACTGTGCATTAAAAACTTATCTTCTCTTCATAAAGAGACAACAATAATAAAATACCCCACCCTGCTAAAAGGCCGACATTCTGCAGCAGAAATGTCATCCAGGGTTTCTTGTTGCTGATATGGATCATGGTGGGCAGCTACAATGAAAAAGGATGGAGATGATAATTAAACAACAGTCATCAGATTGTGCTACTTCTGTGAAAGAGTCAGATTTGTAACAAGTAACACTCACCATATCAGCGAGTCCCACGTATAGAAAGAGCCCTGCAGTAATGGCACCTATCCACTGCTGGGTAGCGAGGTCAGTGGCTACAGACAGAGCGACGTACATGCCGATGAACGAGGTCAGGGTGCTGGCGATGTTTAGAGCTAAGGCCTTGCGGACAGACAGGCCACAGTTGAGCAAAATGGCAAAGTCACCTGGGGAGGAAAATAAGGTGATTTAATGCATGCATACTGAAAAAAAAGATTAGGTTAGGCACTGTTTTTGTGTTTTTCAAGATAATTACCGAGCTCATGCGGTAACTCATGGCAGAGTACAGCCAGTGACGTGGCCAGACCAGACTTCCAGGACAGGGCGAAAGCTGCACCTAGCGCTAAGCCGTCTGCAAAGTTGTGGATCGTGTCACCGATCGTAATCATATAAGGCAGCAGTCGCTGCTCTGTGAATGCAGGAGGAGGCAAAGTTATAGTAACCAGTTCTCTCTGTTTGATGATGATGAACTTTTTGTGTTACATGTAACTTTACTCACCTCTGGTGCGCTCCTTTGGCTCTGGAAGCGGTTTCTCATTGTCCTCACAGCTAACCTAAAACAAATGCATTATGCAAAGTGTAACTAATGATGATTTCGTTTAATTTGATTTTTATTGATAATTGATTTTTTTCTCATGCTATACTCAAGATTCCTCCACAATGATGTGAGAGACTAATAAAGTCATATAGAAAATGATAACCTCAAGTTATTGCTGCTAAAGGTGGTCTTACAAGCTACTGAGTCATAGTATTATGGGGTACAAGTGTGCTACAGGGAGTGCAGAATTATTAGGCAAGTTGTATTTTTGAGGAATAATGTTATTATTGAACAACAACCATGTTCTCAATGAACCTAAAAAACTCATTAATATCAAAGCTGAATGTTTTTGGACGTAGTTTTTAGTTTGTTTTTAGTTTTAGCTATTTTAGGGGGATATCTGTGTGTGCAGGTGACTATTACTGTGCATAATTATTAGGCAACTTAACAAAAAACAAATATATACCCATTTCAATTATTGATTTTTACCAGTGAAACCAATATAACATCTCCACATTCACAAATATACATTTCTGACATTCAAAAACAAAACAAAAACAAATCAACGACCAATATAGCCACCTTTCTTTGCAAGGACACTCAAAAGCCTGCCATCCATGGATTCTGTCAGTGTTTTGATCTGTTCACCATCAATATTGCGTGCAGCAGCAACCACAGCCTCCCAGACACTGTTCAGAGAGGTGTACTGTTTTCCCTCCTTGTAAATCTCACATTTGATGATGGACCACAGGTTCTCAATGGGGTTCAGATCAGGTGAACAAGGAGGCCATGTCATTAGTTTTTCTTCTTTTATACCCTTTCTTGCCAGCCACGCTGTGGAGTACTTGGACGCGTGTGATGGAGCATTGTCCTGCATGAAATCATGTTTTTCTTGAAGGATGCAGACTTCTTCCTGTACCACTGCTTGAAGAAGGTGTCTTCCAGAAACTGGCAGTAGGACTGGGAGTTGAGCTTGACTCCATCCTCAACCCGAAAAGGCCCCACAAGCTCATCTTTGATGATACCAGCCCAAACCAGTACTCCACCTCCACCTTGCTGGCGTCTGAGTCGGACTGGAGCTCTCTGCCCTTTACCAATCCAGCCACGGGCCCATCCATCTGGCCCATCAAGACTCACTCTCATGTCATCAGTCCATAAAACCTTAGAAAAACCAGTCTTGAGATATTTCTTGGCCCAGTCTTGACGTTTCAGCTTGTGTGTCTTGTTCAGTGGTGGTCGTCTTTCAGCCTTTCTTACCTTGGCCATGTCTCTGAGTATTGCACACCTTGTGCTTTGGGCACTCCAGTGATGTTGCAGCTCTGAAATATGGCCAAACTGGTGGCAAGTGGCATCTTGGCAGCTGCACGCTTGACTTTTCTCAGTTCATGGGCAGTTATTTTGCGCCTTGGTTTTTCCACACGCTTCTTGCGACCCTGTTGACTATTTTGAATGAAACGCTTGATTGTTCGATGATCACGCTTCAGAAGCTTTGCAATTTTGAGACTGCTGCATCCCTCTGCAAGATATCTCACTATTTTTGACTTTTCTGAGCCTGTCAAGTCCTTCTTTTGACCCATTTTGCCAAAGGAAAGGACGTTGCCTAATAATTATGCACACCTGATATAGGGTGTTGATGTCATTAGACCACACCCCTTCTCATTACAGAGATGCACATCACCTAATATGCTTAATTGGTAGTAGGCTTTCGAGCCTATACAGCTTGGAGTAAGACAACATGCATGAAGAGGATGATGTGGACAAAATACTCATTTGCCTAATAATTCTGCACTCCCTGTATATCCCACTTAGTCAAAAAGTGTGGACTTATGACTGCACAGTCTCATGAAAACTTTCACATGACCACATATCTCTTACCAGGTCTTCTTTGGATATGGACTGTGACTTTGTGTCTTTTTGTTTCTGTTCCTGTTGATACATCTCTAAAACTCTCCCATGGTCACAGTGGTGAGGCTCAGATTCTTCCTGAAAGGAGAGAAAGGCAAAACTGTTCAGAAATTTAGCCTACAGGCTGAGACAGAAGGAAAGAACTTGAGACAAAGAAGGACAAATAGTTTAAAAAGTATTTTTTGAACTTTTTAAATGTCAGTACATGTGTCTGTCACAATATTTATAACCAACTTTGGTTGTAAATGGATGACAAGGTTAACATTACACATTACACAATGTGTTCTGTATGAGGAGTTTTCTTGTTTTCTTCTTACCCCATGGTGATGTTTATGGTCGTTATGCTTATCACCATATGTGATCAGAGAGAAGGAAACTTCCATCAGGTAAAAGCAGTAGATCCCTGCAATCAGTACCAGCATCTTGTATACGTAGTCCGGAGTTTCCTCCTCATGACTGTGACTTGAATGTTCGCTGCTGCCACCGTTGTCTGAGTGCACGTGCAAACCCAGAAACTACATAAAGAATGCGGGAGAAAGACAAAATGAGTATATCATTAATGTTAATATATGAAAAGACTAATCAGTTTTTACATAGTATCACTGTGCTAGCAAATCACCCATTACAATCTTAATAAATGCCTTATGATTCCAATCTAAAAGCTTTAAAATCCCTCACTGTTGGCATCAGGTGCAATAGGGCATCTCCAGTCAGTGAACCGACTGCCAGGCTGATGCAAAACTGGATGCACATCTGGAAAACACTAGTACAGGCGGCACACAGCAACACCACAATGCCAAACATGGATATCACTGTTATCAGGAAATTGGCGATGGTTGCATAGAGGTATCCTACATGAGAAAGAGACAAATGATAGCATGTATATTAATTGGGATTCTGCTCACTGAAAAGTGGATGCATCTTGAAGCCTTAACTCTTTTAATGTCATCAGTACCATCTTAGTTTTTTCGAGCACAGAAGTGACCATAATTAAAAGGGTGGAATACTAAGTTAACAGTTAATGGTAGCAAACTTAGTTAGCGATCTTCAGCTAAAGATTGTATGAATGCATTCATACCCACTAAGCACTGCTAATGATTGCTAAATAACTAAATAAAATGCTAGAAAACAGAAATGTCTACTTGAAATGCTCCAAAAGGCAAGCATTTTTCAGCCCTCGAGATTTCCACTTTATATCTCCCACCATTCGTTCTGAAAAAGTGAAAATCCCTACAAGATGTGCATTTTCTTTGACATCTACCAGCCTTTATGTTGTAACTGAAAATCAGCAATTGGAAATAGGTGCTTCAGGGACAATCCAGAATTCGAATTTGTGAATCAAGTCTGTTTGTGTGCAGGAAACAACTAGCAGTGACATCAAATGAAAACAGGAAAAAAAGTGCCTGGAATGTCCATTAGAGACCAGTTGTTAGCTATAAGTAATGCACAAACAGATCTTATTTCCCAGCCTTTGAGACATGCCAAACTGTCAACTGGTAGAACTATTTGTTACTTGAGTCCACAACGACACTTACTCTCAGCCTTGGAGAGCCCATCAGGTTTTTCTGGATCTGTAATATCTGCACAGGCTCCGCTCAGGATCTGCTGGACAAGCGCAGGGCTGAGCTGAACCACGCCAGGCCGACCCAGACCAGAGGAGGCAGAGCTATTCTCTGCCAGACCGTAGATCTGGACCAGTTCTTCAGCTGAGAAACAACGCTGGGAAAAACAAACCACAGACATCCATTATATAACTTACACCTCGCTGGTATTTAAATGATGAAATGTGTGAACCAATTGGCATTTTCTTGTGTTTCTAGGTTGGTACCTGTTCCCAAGTGTTATTACTTTCACGTCCCTCAACACTGTCACTGCTTCTCTTCCTCCATCTCTGGACATTGTCATCATGGTCGGCGTGTTCATCTGCTGTGTGCTCATGTCCATGGTCTTCCTCCGAGCTAGGTCCGATATTCAGGCTCTTCATGAGAGCCTTTAGGTCTACAGTCACACACAAAGCAACTGAACAAAATGGCCTCAGGATTCACATAATTATCTGTTAGCAAGGCATAATAGGCTAATAGGACTACATTTTCCCTATGTTACTACAAAGGAGTGACCACAACAATCGTTGATTTTTAAATAAAGCAGTTCCTGTAAGGTGCCCTGCAGAGTTAGTGTTTTACAGGCTGTGGGTATTTGAGTGATTGCACATATATTAATGCTCATATGTTTTTTTGTGTCTATGCACATTTACCCAGGATAGTGAAATTTTCTGAGCCGAGCTGCTCCATGATGTAGTTCACGAAGAAGCTCTCATCAGGCAGGGACTGATCAGCGAAGCAGTGACCTTGCAGGGCATGATACAGCACATATCCCAAAACCGCACCCACTTCCTGTTTCTGGTCTCCTGATGATGCGTCAACCTGTGCCATGATGCCACTAGCGCTTATACAGTTCTATAACATGGTAATAAGAAAAGAAAAGGGGCTGAGTGTTTTAGAACGGCGACACATTTAAACACAGTTGATATTTCGAACACTTTTGAGCAATGGTCAGTTAGTACATAATGCACGTGGGACGCCTGAATTGTCAAAGCATGGACTCTACATGGAGTGGAGTTATTGTTTTTCTAGGTCTTCTTTAGATTCTTAAAGCCATTGCAGATCATTTTCAAACCGCACTAGCTTTCCTTACTTTTTGGTCCTTATGAATCAACATGTGAATACTGAGACTGGACAAAGGGTTTTAATGACTGTGCTCCACACAAGTGAAACACAACACAAAAAGCTTGTCAAATTAGATAATCTAATCCCCTTTAATCCCTTGTAGTTGACATTGAACAGTGTGAATGCATGTCCTTTCTTTAAACTAATATTTAACAATTTTATTGTTGTTAGATTTATTCTCTTTGTTTTTTAAGTATTCCACAAATTCCTTGTTAAATGACCCCTCAGTGGCCTTTACTGTTTAGATAAAGGTGTTGTAATTTGGGAGGGTGCATTATCATGCTTAAAGAGGCCATCGGGGAAATAATGTTGCCATAAAAGGGAGTACGTGGTGTGCAACAATGTCCACAGATAGGTTGTATATGAAAATTAAAGTCCACATAAATTCCAGAATCTAAGGTTTCCCAGCAAAGCACTCCCCAGTCCTTCAGCTAACATACTTTTTTATTGCTATCACCATCTCTTACACATTCAAGGGATTTTAATAGGGCCATTCATATGAAGCAATACAATATGTGGTTCATCAGACCAGGCTATCCGATCTGATGATCCTATGCTCATTGCACAGTTGTGTAAGATGTATGCATACACTCATCATGTTATGGTAGTTTTGGACTTTTAACCCTTTCTTTGAAGTTTTATTTTCCCAGGATGGAAAGATTTTAAGACATATATCCCAGCATCACTGGGATGGCGCTGATCAAGAAAAAGGTCCTGCTCCAAAATCCACACCTTCAAGTTTGACCAGAATGTGCAGCTGCCCACATGGACAAGCCAATTTAAATGAAGCCTGCCAGTTCTGTAAAGATTAGTGGTCAAACATCCAGCCTGAATTATGCCAGAAACCTTTTGATTGCTACAAAAATATCTGCAGATGCAACCTGATAAGGGATATTTAACCAAATATGAGATGGGGTGTATGTATGTGGATATAAGGCTGTAAATTAGCACGATGATGATGCCCGTGATGACTGTATAAACAGCCAGCCAGATTTGAATTTCACCTGTCTGTCGTTTAAATAATACGGCTGGCTGGTGTAAATCCTGGAAATATACTTAACACTCAACTCTCCCTGATTCATTATTGTTTTCCTGAAATGGTGCACCATTATTATGGACTGTTGATTTTTTAGTGTTGTATTAACTTTCCTCAACTTAATCTGTTAAATATTAATATGTAAGAATTTTACACGGAGGAACTCTGTCATATGAGGACATTGTTGTGTAAAAACTGTCTGTTTGTGAAAAACTATCTGCACTAGATAAAATTACAAACCCAAAAAATTTGATACACAAAATAAAATAAAAAACAAATAATAATAATAATGAAACTGCTAGAACATGCTGTCAACACTGGACATACAAACTCTAAAATACAAGAAGAAGCACAGCTAAATGTTTGGAAATCTGACAAAACTTTTGTCTTAAGGAAGTAAATCGGAAAAAACAAAAGCAACTTTTCACTGAACGTTACAGTCCAACATCATGTCCAGCTTTTGTGAACTATCCATCCATTCGCTTATCCTTTTCAGGGTCGCGGGGGGCGCTGGAGCCTATCCCAGCTGTCATAGGGCGAAAGGCGGGGTACACCCTGGACAGGTCGCCAGTCTGTCGCAGGGCCAACATACAGGGACAGACAACCATTCACACCTAGTGGCAATTTGGATTAACCAATTAACCTATCCCCACAAGCTGCATGTCTTTGGACGGTGGGAGGAAGCCGGAGTACCCGGAGAGAACCCACACAAACACGGGGAGAACATGCAAACTCCACACAGAAAGACCCCGGCCTGATGGTGGAATTGAACTCAGGACCTTCTTGCTGTGCGGCAACAGTGCTAACCACCGTGCCACCGTGCTGCCCATCTTTTGTGAACTATTCTATTCTAATAAATAAATTACATAATCAAGCCAGTAAAATGAAACGGATACAAAGAGCACTTTTAATCATGATCAGGTGTTATGGTGATGTGGCTAAATACAGGGCAAAACCCAGCCCGTCTGACCAGCTGTGATATAAATCTGTATGTAAGCTTCCATTGTCAGCAATCAAATAAAACACACCCTGCAAGAGTTTATTTATTTGTTATTATTAGTTATTTATTAGTTATTTAATCTGTGAACATCTATATGCTCACTTTTTTCTCATGTTATACTGCATAAAGGAAATGTACAACTGATTGTAATGGGGAAGCGATCTCCCTGCATGTGTCTCTTTAATTTCCCAGCTGGTTTACTCGCGACTCCTTTAGTTGAAGTTTGCTGGTGAATTAAAAGCTACAATATTTTTGGAAAAAAAAAGTTTTTGGAAACTCGAAGGCTAATATTTTACATTCTTCTTATCTTGTCACTATCCAGTTTATAATGAATATGATCAAAAGAGAGCAATAAATACTATTTACTGAAGATTGAGTATAGGCTTGTGCTTACCTCACTTTCTGTGGGGTCGTAGTGGCTGCGAAGCTCTTGAATGACACCTTCTAATCCATGGACGTCTATGTGTTCATGGTCATGGTTTGCCTCACTCTTGTGTTCATGGGGATCATTATGTGTGAATTTGTGCAGGAATTTTTCAGTCTCTTCTCCCCATGTTCCTGTTTTTATCGCTGTGCAGACCAGGCCAGGAGAAGAAAGGTAAAGGACGGAGCCGGAGGCGAGAGCCGTGAACTGAGATACAGTGACAGCCACATTTACACTGTTTCTTCTAGTTTCTTCCTCATATTGGACGTCGGGATTGCCTATGAGCTGATGAACGGCATCTGCAAGATCACACTTTGTGTCCAGAGAGCAAAAAGAGGGGATAAAAAGATTAAACAGTCATTTCAATCTCATGAAATTTACCTATAGAAGGTACAAGTGTTCTAATCAGCCCAATACAGGAACTCAATGCATTTAGGCATGTAGAAAGTCAAGTCAAGATGACCTACTGAAATACAACCTGATCACCAGAAGAGAAGAAAAGTGATTTAAGTGACTTTACATGTTGCATGGTTGTTTTGGAGTATTTCAGAAACTGTTTGAAAAAGAGAAAATATCCAGTAAGCAGGGTAAAAACACTGTGTTGATGCCAGAAGTCAGAGGAGAATGACCAGACTCCTTGGAACTGACAGGAACGCAGCAGTAACTCAAATAACTACTTGTTACAACCAAAGTATGCAGAAGCGCGTTTCTAAATGCACAGCATGTTGACTAAAGCAGCAGAGGACTACACTTGGAGCCACACTTCCTGATAGGAGACTGGAAAAACTGTGCTTTGTTTGACTACCCTTGAATTTGAAATGAACAACATGAAAGCATCGATCCATCCTACTTCTACCAATGGCTGAAAGTGTGGCTGGTGATTTAATATTATAGGAGATTTTTAGGCCCCTATTACTATCTGAGCATTGTTTAAACCCCACATCCTACGTGAGTATTGTTCCATCCCTTTACAACCACAGTGTATCCATCTTCTAACCACACATGATGACACACCATCGACAAAGCTCAAATAATCTCAAAGTGGTTTCTTTTACATGACAGTGAGTCCGCTGTACTCAAACGACCACCACAGTCACCAGAACTCAGTCCAGCAGATTTGTTGGATATGCAGACGACAAATCTGCAGCAACTGTGTGATGCTGTCAATATGAACCAATCTCCCGGAGGAACGTTTCCAGCACCTTGTTAAATCTGTGCCATGATGAACTAAAACAGCTCCGGAGTCAAAAAGGGGTCCAATCTGGTACTGGCATGGTGTATCTAATAAAGTGTATGTGAACATAAACGATGCTACTGCAAAGAGGTCATGAATTGATTGCTTTATTGGTGCATTTATACAGGATTATCCAGAATTATCAGAAACCTATAATCTAATCTAATCCATATCTCATGAATATCAGCAGTTTTATAGTCTTTTATTAGAGATGATGTAAGCAACAAGATCGGTGCATATCATAAAATACTGATATCCACCAATCTTGACCTAAAAGTTGGGTCACGAATGACTGATTAGATGGTAAAGAATCATACGACTATATTTTACAGCAGATTGGTACAAAGCAAAAATCCAACTATGTGTTGTTGTTGACTAAATTTTATTTTGAGTGAACTGGCCCTTTAAACTCTTACAGAATCAATACATTGCTGTGATTATAATAATAACTCCTAAGAGAACCTACAGTATCATGAAAAGTGTTTCTCCTTACGCAGTGCTGTAAAAAAGTATCTGCCCACTTCTACCCCTAATGGCAGACATGTTGAACAAAGAAATCACTTAAATAGAACCTGTCTGATAAAGTAAAGTAGGCTAGAAGATCTAAAAAAGCAGCACATCATGCCATTATCTAAGGCAACTGCTGAGAAACAAAGCCATTGACATCTATCAGTCTGGAAACGATTACAAAGACATTTCTAAAGTGAAACACGTTGAGAGCCACTATCCACAAATGGAGAAAACTTGGAACAATGGTGAATCTTTCCAGGAGTGATCGGCCTAGCAAAATTACTCCAAAAGCACATCGACGACCAATTCAGGAAGTCACAAAAGAACGCAGAACAACATCTAAAGAACTGCAGATCTCAGTTAAGCTCAGAGTTTATGATTCAGCAATAAGGAAAAGACTGAGAAAAATGGCACCCATGGGAGAGCTCAAGAAGAAAACCACACTGTAAAAAAAAAAACCTAATATAAAAGTATTTTACTGTGTATTTTATAGTTTTGTACTGTTCTTCTAGAATATCATTAAATTTACATCAATAGACTGTGATTTCACATTTCAAATGTAAATTAACGTTAAATCACTGTAATGTAATAAAACCTAATTTTCTTGTTTTTTAAATGTATCTGTCTGTACATATGCATATTTAGATTGTTAAAATACATTCACAAATGTATCATGATTTCACAAATATTTGTCCGTTATTTGAAAGATTGAACTGTTAAATTCAAATGTAATGCTATGGAAAAATATATAAAATGATTCTTATAAACTTTTTTTTTTTACATCAAATAATTATTATTATTGTTGCTACTTAGGGCGATCGTGGCTCAAGAGTTGGGAGTTCGCATTGTAATCAGAAGGTTGCCGGTTCGAGCCCCGGCTCGGACACTCTCGGTCGTTGTGTCCTTGGGCAAGACACTTCACCTACTGGTGATGGCCAGAGGAGAATTGTAAAGCGCTTTGAGGGTCTCAAAAAGCACGATATAAATGAAATCCATTATTATTTAAACCAACTGTTAACTGTATATTTCTGTACATTTAAGTAATATTTTCCATATTGCCGCATGCATTGACCTTGTTTATAGGTAATTTCATTGTTTAATCACATTAAATTGTTCCTAATTTAATGTTTAAAAGCACTTGAAAAAGGCAAAATCCCATGTAAAATTAGGGCAACAAATTGTATTTTCATTACTGGAAATAACCATATTTTTATGAGCAAGTTATTTTCTGTTATTTTACGGTATTATTTTGGCGCCCCAGCTGCCGGATTATTACTGTTTTTTTAAGATGTTTTTTCTAACAGTGCAGTGCCGAGCAAAGAACACAGACTCGTCTCACATTTGCCAAATTAAAAACAGCAACAACATCTTGATGATCCCCAAGACTTTTGAGAAAATCTTCTATGGACTGATAAGAAAAAATGTGAACTTTTTGAAAGGTTTGAGTCCCTGCTACATGTGGTGTAAAACTAACACGGCATTTCCTAAAATGCTTCTCTCCGGGTGGGGTCAAACATGGATTCATGAATTCTGCTCTCTACTAGAGAGGGCTGAAGCTCAAGAGCACTTGGGTTATGCAGCAGGACAATGATTAGAGTCAAACCAGCATGTCCACCTCTGAATGGTTAAAAAAAAGACAAAGTGGAGGTTTTGGATTGGGCTAGTCAAAGTCTGAAAATCTTATTGAGACGCTTCGGCATAACCTTAAACAGGTTATGATGCCTGAAAACCCTCCAGTGTTGCCGAATTAAAGGAATTCTGCAAATAAGAGTGGACCAAAATTCCTCCACAGAGATGTGAAAGACTCAATTCCAGTTAATACAACACTTGACTGCAGTTCTTGCTGTCAAGGGTGCGGCACAACCAGTTAGGCTGAGGTTTTCACACAAGACCAGGTCGGTTTGGATAGCTTAAAAAAAAAAATTATCATTCAAAAAATTAATTTTGCATCAACTTGGGTTTTCTTTGCTTAATGATAAAATTGGTTAGATTATGCAAAACATCTAAATTTGACAAATATTCAAAAAGCTAAGAAATCAGAAGCGGACAAATAAGTTTTCACAGCACTGCATATAAACTCCTAGACAGCGGAATAATCGAAACTTTTTTTTTATTGTGGGTCAATATTGAACCTCTTTCACATTTTGTCTCTTATAATCCACAGTGCAAGCCGATGTCACTACTGCTAAGTTCTTACAATGAAATTGACAGTTTAACAGTTTCTCATCTCTTTTATTTCATGCATCATTCACTGGTGGCTGCCACAGCTGTCTGATAGCAAACATTTATCAGGCATGCACTGTACATTCCTGCTGTTGTCAGCTGACACCTAAGAAGTCCAAGGACTTCTCTCTCACTCACTGATAAAGGGGTTTTGTCTAAGTTGCCTGCAAATGCTTTGAGTAACAGCAACACTTATAAAATAAGCATGGATTAGTGCTAACACACTGAACCTGAAACCGAAGAGTAATTGTTTCAGCCAGCCTGTTTTTTTTTCTTGCTTAATTTTTGGTGCCCCTTAAGAGAGCTTTTAGCCAAAGCTGGATAAAAATCACCAGCACTGTAATAACTTATTTTTAAACCAGCTTTTATGAGCTGAAGATTCCTTTACTGAAAAAAAACTGAGGTTTTATCTTTATCAGATGGTCAGACAGGGATGTGAACACAGCACCCTTAAAAGGCTCATTCTCAGGCAGGAGAAACACCTGCCGCTAAAGGCCCTGATCGGTGTTTAGGCTCCTGTTGACTGAAGGAAGAAGCCTATTGACACAAGGCAAAATGCTGTCCAACACTTTTTTCTTGATATAACCCTGATTAAAGCTCATTTCAATTACGTTGTCATTAAACCTTTCCATTAGAGTAGCCAGACTTCCACCAGAGACTCTTTATTTAATAACTTACTGCAAAAGAGAAAAAAAATCTTTATGAGACGAAGAAGAGGAAAGAGAAGAAAAAGGTCTGAACTTTTAGGTTCAATTAATAATATTTCTTTCTTTTTTGCTTCGTCTTTTTTTTCTGTGTATCCACGGCAAATATTATGCAATAAAGTTACACTTAAGACATTTTTCCTTTCAAAAGCAGCTCAAAGATTCCCATTGATAAGTCCACTTTATTAAACAAGCCTGGGATTAAATAGAAAAAATACAAATAGACGCCTAAATCCCATCATGAAACTACCAAATGCTCGGAACAACTGGCCGGCCAAGGTGGAAAAATGGTGCCATTTTAAAGCTGAAGGGATTTAAGGATTTTCTGTTTATTGCGCTTTGCTGCACTTTGATTAAAAAAGTACTTACAGCATTATTTGAAAGCACCCTTACTTTACTTTTAGTTAACTTTTGCACACTTTTACAGGAGTAAATAAGCAGTTTGGAACATGAAAGTAAACTTAGATGATTGTTCAGCAGATAAGTACTTAAATCTAAATCTAAAAGAAGTAATGTTAAAATTTAAAAATGTAACATTATTTTTATTATTAGCAAATTGATTACAATTTAAAGCAGACCTATCCCGATCTATCACTTGCGTAATAGCTTTTGGACCTCGACCTTTTTCCTCCGCACCCGACTCAGGGCTCTCCAGCTCGGTTGCAGCTTTAGCCTAATAAAACTCACCTTTTCACACGGCACTTCGCCGCAGTGCACACGGTGCTCCAGTGTATTAAAGAGGGAGTGAAGAGATTCCCCGGTCAGATACTGCTGTCCTGGAGACACGATGCTCACCACAGCCTCGTAAGCTTCCTCCACAGCGGGGGAACCCGAGACAAAACTGAGCAAACCCCACCCGGAGAGAAGCAGCAGAAGAAACGGCGAAGAGGAAATCATCTTAAAACTGTCTTTGAAGAAAAAAAAGATTTGCTAAGACCAAAAGTGTAAAAAAAAGTGCAGAAATAGTGTGACAGAGGCTCCTACAGTCTCAAGGTATTTCTGCAGACACATTGAGCCATAGAGCTCAGCTCACGGCTGTTATCAGTTTTAAACCACTGCAGTCTCACTGGACCTCGGCTGTGATTGGCTGAGACATGCCTCGTGCTGCCCTACACCTGTCTATTATAACCACTGTTACCTGTACAGGTCAGAAAAGGCACCCCACAGGCCTCCCAGGCATCGCCACACCACCAGCAAAACACCAAACAGCGGTTTCACTCATATTAGTGAACCCAAAGTTATATTGGGCATCGCACATCACACAAAGGAGCTGATAGGCTCAACCAACACAAATCCAGTTAAAGGAAATGGATTTTTTGATAAAAGGCTCATGTGGCTGGTTTGCACTGACTGCTGAAGAAGACACAAAATGTTGATGTTTTAACCCTGAACTCGACGTTTTGGTGCTCCTTATTCATACCAGAGCTATTATTATTATTATTATTTATCTTACTTAAAATAAGCGTTTCTATTTCTGTCTATGTTCTGAGCCCAGGCAAAAATACTGGCAAACCAAGTACTAAACCATTTGATACTTTAAAAAGGGCTGTTCCAACTTTGTAAACCCTTAATAGACAGTTTCCTGTTTAAATGTTCAGACATGCTTTCCACAATAAAACTGGAAAAAATGTTGTTTTTTTTAAACTCAGTGTCAGGTGCCTTTATCTTTGTGGTAAACAAAATCTTAATTAATTACTATTTCAAGTAAAGAAATAAGTAACATATGTTTATAAAGCGCTTTTGAAAAACAAAAGTTACAAAGTGCTCTGCAATATAAAGCACAATAACAATACAATTAAAATGGATAAATAGATAAAAGTGACTGACCCCCACTCCTCTAATGAGGCCATTAAATAAAATCAAAGTTCATCTGTATCTACCACAGCATTTTTTAGAGGAGACTGTAAAATACCCCTCAGGAAAAGTGCATTTGGCAGTCAGCTATACTTGCCCACAGTACAATACAATACAAACAAGGAATATAACATTCTTTACTTCTTTCTCTAAATCTGTAAAACAGTGGTTACTGGATAATCGAACATGCTGTCATGATGTGAAATAATGTCACTGAAGGTCATTGATTTTAATGTGTTTAAATATGGTTCATTATTATTCTTTATTTCATGTGTGTTTCTGTATTTCACTTATGTTCACATGCTTCTGAATGTTTGGATTTGTTGATTCATTTGTTATGCCATCAACCTGCCAGTGACTACTGATGAAATTGAATCAATGTGGCTAAATCCGCCACGTTTACACGATGATTTTAAGTGCTCATGTTAATTAATTTGCATTGTCCCTTTTAAATAAACATAAACTAAAAGCAAGTGTGCACAGGTTCGTCTTAAGCTTCTTTTTAAAGGTATAAACAGCGGCTGCAGATCTTAAGTTTAATGGTAGCAAATTCCACAACTTAGAGGCAGCAAAATTAAAAATGCAATTTTCAACATGTAAATTAATCAGAATGTTTTTTTGTATGTAATTTGTATAGTATTTTTTTTCTCGCTTATTTTCTTTTCTAAATGTACTTGTATATTGTTCACATGTTGAAATAAATTACCAATCAATCAATCAATCAATCAACCAATCAATCAATCAATCAATCAATCAATCAATCAATCAATCAATCAATCAATCAATCAATCAATCAATCAATTTCCTCTTGTCCTTTAATTTAAGGAGGTATTTGACCATTAGGAGCTCAGTAAAAATCTTATATTGAACCATCGACTTAATGGGGTACTGGTGTAAAGAGGACATAATCCATGTTCTTTTAGAGGAGCTGGTGAGAAGCCTCACAGCTGCTTTCTGGACCATTTATGAATGATCCAAAGATGGTTTGCTCAGCCAAAGGAATCACAAACAACATTAAACAAGGTAATATTCAGAGTATGTTTTTTTTGAAAGAAGGAAGTTATAATTTAAGGGGTTTTTGTAACTTCAAAACAATGAAGGTACGTACTACAAGAAAAGGCTTTTGTGTTTCTGTTCAAGGAGTGAAACTATGGAACAAACTGAATATGGAATTAAAGCAATGTCCAAACATAAAACTGTTCAAAAAGAGTTATAAAAATATGATCTTCTCGATCTATAAAGAAAAGGAAAATATTTAAATTAAGTGAATGTCTCTATTTAAAAACAAACAAACAAAAAATTCATGATGTGATATTATAGTATATATCCATCCATCCATCCATCCATTCGCTTCCGCTTATCCTTTTCAGGGTCACGGGGGGCGCTGGAGCCTATCCCAGCTGTCTTTTTTTATTATAGTATATAGTATATCAGAAATCTGTTCACTATTTTTATTACAAATTATATCAGTAAGGAAGCTGACTAAATATTCACTGATAATTTATGGGACAGGGGTGGGATTAAATAAGTGTATACTTCTTCCCACTCCCTTTCAACATGTAAATTAATCAGAATGTTTTTTTGTATGTAATTTGTATAGTATATTTTTTTTCTCTCATTTCTTTTCTAAATGTACTTGTATATTGTTCACATGTTGAAATAAATTACCAATCAATCAATCAATCAATCAATCAAACAAGATGTGAAATAAATGCTATCATCATTTTTATTTTGAATTGAGACGCAATATATTTTAGAGGGGAAAATCTGAATAAGACAGCCAAGATACTCATCAAAACTGAATTCCTAATCCAAAGTACAAAGAGATTTCTTACATTTGCGAGACCTTTTTTCAGACCTTCGTTTTATCAATAGATAAAAATAACTAGCAAAGGAAACTCAAAAAGAAAGAATCACATTTTCTGCTCTTTTCAAAATAGTTTTTTACTTCTACATTAAACTAGGTGGAAAAGAAAAATCAAGCTGTAAAAAGAGTTGAGCTGCTTCAGGGAATGACTTAAATATACACCAGGGTCCCAGATTAATTCTGCAGCATGACAGCAAGCCCAAACAAATGACCAGAGACGGAAACAACTATCTGACAAGGAGAAAACAGAGTCATTACAGTCAGAGTCCTGATCGCTTATCATGGAGTCAGTCAGGGACTATCCCCAGGACTGTTGCACATTCTAAGATATGCGTGGAACAACTTATCTTACAATTGGCTTGAAAACAGAGGATTATAAATTTTAAATGTTTCAGATCGTCAAACAAATTTTAATATTAGTCAAAGATAACCAGAGTAAAAACAAGATGCAGAGAAAAAAAAAGGTGTCCACATCTACCTGCTCATGTGTGATAAAGTAATTGCCCCCTCAACCTAATAACTGGTTGTGCCACCCTCGGCAACAGGAACTACAATCACATGTGTGCAGAATTGTTTTAATTCAGCCACACTGAAGGGGTTTCAAGCATGCACAGCCTGTTTAAGGTCATGCTAAAGAATTTCAGTCAGACTTTGTCCAAACTTTGACTTGGTCACTTCAAATATTTCTTTTTTTTTGAGTCACTCAAACCTGGGCTCGCTGATTATTGTCCTGCCATGTAACTTAAGTGTGCTTAAATTCCAGGGCCTGCTCTGATGACCGGACATTCAGGATTTTCTGGTAGAGAGTAGAATTCATGGTTCCATCAATTTATTGTTCAGGTCCCGAAGCAGCAAAGCAGCCCCAGTCCCTCACACTACCGTCACTGTGTTTAACTGTTTGACTGATGCTCTTTTTATGAAATACTGTGTGTTTCACACCAAGTATAACAGGACTCAACCCATACAAATATTTTTCCAAAAGTCTTGGGGATCATCAAGATGTTTTTTGGCAAATATGAGATGAGCCTTTGTGTTCTCTTTGGTGGTTTTCATGTTTTCTTGATTTAATGTGTTTGTTAGCAGGGGGAAATACTCTTTCCACACAGGGCCAGGCAGGTTTCTCCGTTAACAAATGAAATCATTGTTTTATAACTGCTTTGTGTATTTACTGAAGTTATCTTTATCTAATACTGAATAAGTTTTTGATGATCTGACACATGTAGAAAAGAAAGGAAGTGGGCAAATACCTTTCCGTAGCACAGAATGAGCAGAAACACTTGGTCACAGACCTGAAAGGTCAGCTATAAAAACTATGGGAGTGAGGTTAAAGAGTTTGCATGTTTAAAGATTCCAAATGTTGAGCTGACACATGGTAGTTTAAAAGAAAAGTTTATGACAAGTGCAAAGATGAAAGCTTTTAACATGGAAAGCATGAATGTTGTAAAATATCTTAATTTATGCCACTCGTCTCTGCTGCAGTTGAGCAACATTTTACAGGCGTTCTCCTTGACTTAACAATAAATCCTGCCATCAGTGCAGGACGTGACAACTTGTCCTGAGGCCGTGAATAAACCACAAAGAAATCAGAGACTCCCTGGCTCTGCCTGGCATATCTTTTGCAAGAACGGGTACACCAAGTTCAAGATAAGCATCATGAATGTCATTTTGCACTCTAAAACATCCTGACATGCAACAGGTTTGTGATGGTATGTTCATCAGATACTGGTCTATGAAATGAGTGTTTGAGGACACCTATTTCCTCAGTTATGTCTTGTGATATAAGGAATTTAGTAACACTTCAGTACACACTTCATGTGCTTATAAATTTACCTTTCACTTCAATAAAGTACACTTTCTTTTCACCACTGTCGACATGTTCTTCTTAAGCCAGTGACAAAAAGAAAAACTCAAAGTAAAATCCAGACAAAAAAATAAAATTTGAATGCACCAACTGAAAGCAGGAACCCCCACTGTAGATTTGCATATCTCCACATGCTTACATTTGTGTTTTTCAAAAGCAGCAATCAGCAAACATTAAGTACTCTCTGATAACACGCTGACACAAAGAGGTCTCCAAGTAGAATTTAACGTTCCTCTGCGAGCATGTCCCCTAATAACCGCCAGATGGCGCAAATGCTCTGTCTAAAATCTCGACAAAACATGAGTTTCAAACATTTGCTGGAAATCCATTGCAGGAAAAGCGTGAAATAGGGCAATGTTGCCCAAAAATATTCTTTTAGTGATCACAGTTTTTCTACCAGTTCCATTTTTGTTTAGGCTGCTACCTCCTAGC